GAGAAACCTTTTGGCCTTTGTTTTGCGGGGATTGGCTTATTTCATTTACCAGGAAAGTCCCTAGTTCCATCCATTCACCAGCTCATGCCATAATCTCATTCTTCTTTGTGGCTAATATTCCATTGTGTATATGTACTACATTTTCTTGACCCATTGAAGGGCACCTATGTTGGTTTCATAACTTAGCTATTGTTAATTGAGCTGTTACTGTAGTATGCTGATATTTAGTATTGCCTCCCCTACCAAGCTCACAAACCAGGGAGTGGGATAGCTGGGTCAAATGGTGGTTGCATTCCAAGTTTTCTGAGGAATTTCCATACTGCTTTCCAGAGTGGTTGCACCAATATGCAGTCACAACAGCAATGTACAAATTCATCATTTTCCCCACATCCTCACCGATATTTATGGTTATTTGTATTCTTGATAATTGCCATTCTGACTGGAGTGAGATGAAATCTCATTGTAGTTTTAATTTGCATTTCTCTAATTGCTAGAGATATCGAACATTTTTTCATATATTTATTGACCATTCATATTTCTTCTTTTGTGAAGTGTTTGGTTCCTTTGTTCATTTTTGATTGGGTTATTTTTTTTTGACGTTCAGTTTTTTGAGTTCTTGATATATCCTAGAGATTAATGCTCTGAGGTGCACCTGGCCAAGATTTTCTCCCATTCCGTAGGCTCTCCTCACATTCTTGGCTGCTTCCTTGATGTGGAGAAGCAGGGGCCAGTTTCCTTCTCCATGGCTCCATCAGCTCCGCGGAGCCTCTCCTCCAGCTCCCGTGGAAGTTGGAGTCTCCCAGTTCACAGCAGTCTTCAGGGAAGGTGGCATGGGCTCCCAGGAGAGGCCGATGGTAGCTACCTTCTGCACAGACTGACCACAGGCCTTGAAACCCCACTTGGTGTTGGGGGGTTCACCAAGGGATGGGGAGGCTCATGTGTGATGGGAAGCTCCTGTGTGATGTTCACCTGTCTGTCGCCAGCACTGGAAATGCAGTGGGTGCCAAGAGGTTACTGGGGGAATGGCTACTGGAAATTGGTGGCATCACAGATCACCGAGATGCAGCCTGGGAATGCTTGCGGGTACCCCAGGCTCGCCAGGGCCCCAACACCCTGGCTCAGGCATGTCTTCAGATGTAGTTCAGGTGGCAAGCCAGAGGAGGAACACCAGGGAGTCCAGGGTGTGTCTTCCCAGACCAGTTCTTGCCCCACACCACTGTGAACATCATCCCTGGGAGCCGGGGTGAGCACACTGGGTCACTGGGAAGCCACACCCCTGCCTCAGGAAGGAAACCAGCCCGGCAGGAGCAGGGCCCGTGGTCCCTTCTCTGGCTACTGTAACAAACTATCCCCAACTCAATGCCTTAGGACAATACATTTATTATCTTACAGTTCTGCAGTCCAGAAGCCCAAGATCATTTCACTGGACTAACACCAGATTCAAACAGTTCTAGTTCTTTTTGGAGGCTATGCAAAAATCTGTGTCCTTAGTTTTCCCAGCTTCTACAATTGTCTTCCTTGGCTTGGCATAGTTTCTTCAAAGCCATCAGCATAATATCTACAAACCTCTCTGACCCTTCTCTTTCACTTAAAAAGACTGTGAGAGTACCCTGGGTCTGTACAGATCATCCAAGATAACTCCCATCCCCAGACTCTTAATCTAATCAATCTACAAGGTCCATTTTTCTAGGTAAGGTAGCAGACTCACAGGTTCTAGGGATCACCACCTGGACATCTTTGGGATTCTGAGATCTCCTTCCTCATTGACTCTCCTCCACCCCAACCTGGGGGAGTGAGGGTGGGCAGACCTGGCCAGAAAGGGATCCTTGGCTGGCAGTGAAGAGAAGCCAGAGAGTTTGCCGTCTGAGGAGGACCCTGCAGGATCCTGGAGGGGGGAACCTCAGGGCTGTATCCTTAAGTGCATTCAAGAGCTGGCATCGAGGTAGGTGCATATCCTGCAGAAAGGTAAATCAATCTGGGGAGGACAGGTGGAGGCCAGGGGTGTGGGCAGGGCTATCCCCTCCCTGTCCTAACTAGCTGCCTTGGAAGAACTACTGTGGCTTCGGCACCATTCCAGTCTGGGAGCCTGGGCCTTATCCTCTCCTTCCCTAAAAGGAGGCTGATGACAGAGCCCAGGTGTTGCTGACATCCATCTGTAGATTACTACTTTGGTTCCTCCTTGCCCACTGCCCACAAAGGGGCTGCCCTAAACCACCCAGCACAGGACCAAGGGGTACTTTTCACCCCAGCCCATTTCCCTCTCATCTTGGGCTCGGGAGTTGCACCCTCCCTTTGCCCACCCCATGCCCACTGGACACCACCACTGGTCCCATGGCCTTGTCACTTAGCCCCAGTTTTGCTGTGCCTTGATGCCCAGAAAGTGGAGACAGCTTCAGACTCTGGCACAGGTGCCCAAGAGGCCTGTGTGGGCCAGGCCTTGGTTCTCTCTTCTCTAATATGGGCGACAATAAACCCTCAATTTGAGGAAATTTGTTTATCCACAAGYATTTATTGAGTGACTTTTACATACSAGGGTTAGGGGACTCAGGAACAAGGAGTGACCTCACACTGCAGATGAAGGGCTGAGCAGACTGACCCCTTCTTCTGGCCACCACACTGCCTCCTCTGCTCATTTTCCCAAACCTTCCCTGGTCCTGTCTCCCAGCTCTCTTCCCCACAAGCCAGGAGGGATGTCAGGGGCTCCACTGTTTGTGATCTATAATGGTTAATTTAAATCGTCAACTTGATTGGATTAAAATGCTGAGGATTAACAGGCTTCTGGGGGCTGGGGTTGTGGCTCAGTAGTAGAGCGCTTGCCTACCATGCAGGAGGCACTGGGTTCGATCCTCAGCACCACATAAATGTAAAATAAAGATACTGTGTCCACCTAAAACTAAAAATATAATATGTCAAAAAAGAGGCTTCTGGGTGTGTCGGTGAGGATACATCTAGGAATGACTGGCATGTGGGATAGCTAACCAAAGTGGAGACCCTCTCTATATGTGGGCAGCCCAGTCCAATAGACTGGAGGCTTGGATGGAATAACAGCTGAAGAACCAGGGAGTGGCAGCAGATGCAAGCTAGATTCTTCTTGAGTGCATTCTTGATTGCTGCTGGGATGGTAGGAGGGCATCAGACTCTTGCTCCTCCACTYTTCCCAAGTGGACTCTGCCAGTGATTCTCCAGGGAGTTTTCAGAAGCCTTCATCTTGGATGGGGGCAGCACCACTG